AGTGAGACACTATTTTGTAGGCACAAAACTCTTAGCATACTGTAATGAGAACAAAGCTTGTCTCAAGGATGCTCACCTATAGCATGATGCTCCTAAACACTGAGCCACACAACCAGAGATACACAGCAGGTAGAAAGAACTGGAGCCATGACTTGCTTTAGAAGGAGACCAAGAACAGTAATGAGTTGGTCCTGTACAGCAAGTGGCTTGTGTGATGTAACTACTCCTTCCATTGAACAAGAGAGGATCATGTAACCTGGAGCCAGCAGGGGATCCTGGGTTCAAATATTCTGTTCACATTGGCATAGCTATTGCCACATGATTTCCTAACAAATTAACTAAGGGTCACCCTGACTCAGGGCAGACCAATCATATTCACTGTTTGAAGCAGTATAGTTAATGAGATTTTAGCACATGCTTCATTCAGTCAAGAGAGCAATTACTATTCATCTGAATTCATAATGCCTCATTGTTACTAACATCAAGTTGATTCTATGTACTATAAACAAATGAAAAGAAAATAGCCATTTATAATTTTCAAACCTTGTGAACTTGGGCAAGTTTTTGATCTGAGTACCAGTGGGCTTCCCAGTTAAAACTGTATAAAATACCATGCCACATGACTGTTGCAAACGCTTTGTAGATTTGTCCCTTTTAAATCTCATGATGAATTTTAAGTGCCATTGTGACAGTATTTAGAGGGTAGGCATCAAAGATTCACCATCTAAAATGGATTAATGCCATTATACATGGAGTAGGCTCATTATTGTGGGGAGGGATTCACTGTAATTTTTAAATGATATAAAATTGAGCATATATATTGTGTGATATTTACATTAGGGTAAGTGCACTGGTTACTTTACTCGAAACAAACTGGAGTCACCTAGCAATTGGAAACCTTAATTGAAGAATTGCCTCCATCAAATTGTAATGGAGTCAAATCTGTGGGACATTTTCTTAATTAGTGATTTATGTGGTAAGGGCAGGTGGTCCTGGGTTATGTAAGAAAGAAGGCTGAGCTGGCCATGGAAAGGAAGTCAGTTCTCCAGTGGTTTCTGCTTCAAGCGTCTGTCTTGGCTTTCTTGGATGATGAACACAACCTGTAATCCAAACATACCCTTCCTCTCCAATGTTGTTTTTGCTCAGTGTTCTGTGACAGCAACAGGGACATATGCTGGGCAATAAGCAAATCTAACTAATACTGCTTCTCCTCCTCTTCCTCCTCCTGGTTTTCATTATTTTTATTTGCCTGTCTAGGTAATGCTTCATAAATGTGGGTATCAGTAGAGGCCAGAAGAGAAGTGAGATGCCCTGGAGTTACCTGACATGGGTGTTAGAGATTGAACATGGGTCCTCTGCAAGTGCTTTTAACCACAAAACTATATCTACAGTTGCTTCATTTTCCTTGTCAATGTTTATCATTTTTGCCTACTACATAGTTCTGAACAAATACCAGCTCTCATTACTTCTGAACCATAATAGTGTCTTATTTCAGACAGGTGAATTTTCCTTTGTGTATAATTATTCCATATATCTCTCTAGCCATTTGAGATTCACCACCTTGGGCTATCAATCTCTGCTATAATTCAGAACATGCTAGTACCAACTGTGAAGTAGCATATTCAAACATTTGGAAAAGGAGTCTTCAGGGTAGCCTCGGTCCTCCTAATGAGTCTTAATGAAGAGAAGTGTGAGGGAAACGAGAGTCTGAAGACAGTTTCACATTGGCGTCTCATCATGGAGGAGGGGACCTAAGCCCATGACAATTCACTGGTGTTTTCCTGGTGTTCACTGGACAGTGAGTGCATTTTGGAAAGTCTCTATCACATGGATTTTTATGCCATCTACTGGTCATTTCTGCAAAAGACAACTATGTTGAATCTCACTGGTTCCTAGGCATCTTACCAACTTACACATTCTAAGGCAGTCGTTCTCCACCCTCCTAATGCTGTGACCATTTAATACAGTTTCTCATGTTATGGTGACCCCCAGTAAAATTATTTCATGCTATTTCATAACTGTAATTTTGCTACTGTTATGAGTTGTGATGTTTAACTGATATGCAGAATGGTCTTAGGTGACCCTTGTGAAAGGGTCTTTGACCTCCAAAGGGGTCGCTACCCACAGGTTGAGAAGCAATGATCTAAGGGATGCCCTTAAGAACTCTGATGTAGGAACAAAATCAAAAGGTCTACAATGAGACAAGCCTGGGACAGGGTGTTAGAGACTGAGTTATCTATCAGTCTCTCACCCAGTCACTTGTCCTTCCCAGCCAGAGTTACACTACCTAGAGCTTCTACTAGCTCTAGTATCCCTCAGATATGAACAAGCATAACTATCTATACTTCATTCTCTTCAAAACTAATTTATAGTATTGTGATATGTCTAAGAGATCTCTAATCATGTTACCTTTCAATCCTATTGATCATTGGTTTTATTACTTAAACACACATTTTAGTAACTATACTGACCTTTTCTTTTTTTAATTGTGTGGGCCATCTTGTTTACTTTTACAAAGTAATTTTTGGTTTTCACAATTACAATATAAATCATTTAGCTAAAATACCACTTGAAAGGTAATAGAGTTATTATTATGCTAGCCTTGAGAGACAATGTTCATTAAATTGGAAGTATATTGACCTTTTTTTAAAAAAATATTTCTGTATTTTCTCTTTTGACTGTATGTTTTCTATCTCGCTGAATTAAATCTTTCTTATTTTCTTATTTCTACTGCAGGTTTAGCTTCCTCTTCAGTTTCTATCTTCTTAAGGTTCACATGCAAATCACTGGTTTTGGGCATCTCATTTCATATCTATGTGAACATCTAAAGTTGTAAATTTCCTGTAAGCACTAATGATTTGCATTCTCTGCATTTCTCATTGTTTCTGCTTTCATTAAACCTGAAGATACTCCTTAATATCCCATAGATTTACTATCTGATTCATATGCTCCTATGATGAGTATTGACCTAATTTCTAATATTGGAAAAATTCTCCAATCTCTATTAACACTTTATACAATTTCTGTCATAATCAGATAATTTCTTCTGAAGGATTTAGTTTTGAAAGATGTATTAACATTTTTATGCTCCAGCATGTGCATTTGAAAAGAATGTCTGCTCTGCAGTAATTGGGTGTAATGTTTTTATAAATATCAATTAACTAAATTTTGATACTGTTGTTCACATATTCTGTAATTCTGTATCCTTATTTATTTTGTTTACCTATCTTCATATTTTTGCCTACCACTTCTGACCATTTTTACTAAGCACAGAATGTTGAAATCAACATCTGTCCTCATGAGCTATTTCTCCTTTGAGTTTTGTCAGCTTGGCAGTAGTGCACTTTGAAGTTTTGTCTTTAAGTATCTAAATATTTAGGGATGTTTTGTCTTCTGGCTGAAGACACTTTCTTGATTTTGGAGATGGGAATGTACCTCAGATGGTAGAGTGCTCGCCCAGGATGTATGAAGTCTTGGGTTCGAACTCCAGCACCACACAACCCTGGTGTCCTGGGCACTCCTGTAATCTCAAATACTAGGGAAGCAGAGGCAGGAAGCAGAGTAATCCTTGCCACGTAGTGAGTTTGAAGTCAGCCTAGGACACATGAAACCCAGCCACAAAAGCAGAAGTCTTCGACCTTTATTTCATTATGGCATTATTTTGAATTCCATTTTCTCTGAAGGTGATATAGTAACACTCAGATACACAAACTGAGGGGCTTAAGCAGTCTCAAAGATGGATGTACAGAGAAAAAGGACCTGGGAGTCCAGAGCAGGTACATCCACACCCTCATTTTAAACCCGATGGTTTTGCCAGAGTGCTGGAGCACAACTGTAATCTGCCCTACTTGAGTTTGGTTATGCAGATAGAGGATGAGAGAGTGGGATCGCCAGTTTAAGGCCAGCTGGACTATATAAGGAGCCTCTGACTCAAAAACAAAATGAACAAAACTGTCAGCTTGGAGCGCCTTCTGGTCGCTTAGGTACACCCACCTGCACAGCTTTAAAGATGTGTTTCCAGGTCCTTAGGGACACCAGATTCCTTACCACTACTGTAGGTGCCCCTTCATCCACCCAGCAGAGGTCAGAGCGGCAGAATCCTCAGCCAACCAGAACATAGCAGTCCCTGAAAGCTCCACCCCTCCACCCCGCCCTAGGCTTAGGCTGATGGTCTAGTTGGCTCGGTCCACAGAATCTCTCCTTGCCAGTAGGGAGGGCCGTGTTGCCCGCATACCAGCCCTAAGCTGTCTGCCTTTGCTTCCGCAGTGCCCCTTCCCGCATAGACTGGCATGGTCCAGACTCCCACAAGTTGAACCCCACCTCTTACTTCAGCATCTGAGTCCCATAGGCTGACTGGACTGCGGGCGACGTTCCGGTTGGAACGAGAGACTGTCCGTCAAGCA